GCACTGCGGTCCGGACATCCAGAACCACTCGGTTACGATCCGGACGTCCGGACCGCAGCGCGCAGACGGTCTGGCTTTGGATGTCCGGGTCTGGTGTCCGGCCCAGAGTGTCCGGATCCATCCCCCACCCCCAAAAGAAATCCGACTTCGAAGAAACATAAGAAAAACTCTGAAAAGAAAGATATGTTGTGCAGCATTCCAATACAGAAATCTTTTGGCTGAGGACCATCTTGAAATTCGTAGCCAAATCCAAGGGGGGGGGGGAAGTTTTTTTTTAATTAAAAAAGGTTTTAATGTTTTCTTTTTTCAAGCCGGATGGTCTGTAGCAGTCCAGATACAGGTCTGGCCGGACGTCTGGACTGGGCCTGTGTGTCCGGGTCCGGCGTAACCATGATAGAATGTGACCTATAGCGTGCCGGTATAGCCACCACCGAAATGTGTCATTTCAAATTTTGGCTTAAACCACCAGTACTCGGCCCAGCTATGAGTAGAAACGTTTCTAGTCGGATGAATTTGGGCGCTCCTGTAGTCGCCCGTACGTCTCCTAAAATCGTGGCGCGTTAACGGGCATGACTCTAGGAAGTACTGCAGTGGTTTAAGCGTGGGGGATATCCATGCGAATGAATCTCTGATGATGAGAAACCACGTCGGTGTATGTAGCATGCCGTGTCGGGACTCTGCACCAGCAAACCCGGGCCTGGCGCCGCCAAGCTTTGTTCAAACCACCAGCAGTGCACTTTCTTTTCTTTTTTGGCTGGCAATGCCAGCCATTGTGGTCCTGTAGCCCCGAGCCTCCAAAATTTTTGGAATGAGTCATGAAATCTTTTTTTTTTCTTTTTCTTTTTCTTTTTCTTTTTCTTTTGAAGTCATGAAGTAATCTTGCCAGGCTGGGGCCGTGTACTTGCGGTTTAAGTTCTAAAAGAGTATGGGCCTCGCTCCACTACACGACACTATACGTATCTGGAGCTCACAATCAACCCGAGACATTTAAAATGTCGGAGTCTGTGTGGTATCGCGCTCACGTTCGGTGACCGAACCCGAACGTTCATGACCGAACGCGAACGAGCGCCAAAACCCTCCGAACGTGAACATAAAAGTACTTAAAAAAAATCTGAAAAATCTGAAAAAAAATATATGTTATGGAAAATTATACTACAAATTACTTTTGCCTGGGAGGTATGCTCAAATTCGTAACCAAACTCGAAATAAAAATAAAAAGCCTAAAAAAAATTAAGATAGCTGGGCCTAGTACTGGGCCGAGGTCCCACTAGCAACAAGGATCGGATTGAATGCCTGAATCTGGATATGCCTTATGCAAAGATGCAGAAATGAATTCCTGAATCTGGATATGCCTAATGCAAAGATGCAGAAAAGCAGTTCAATCTCGATTTCCTGCACCTGTGCACAAACACGTCCAGATTCAGGCATTCAATCCGATCCTCGTGGCTAGTGGGACCACGCTCCCTGGTGGTTTAAACCCCCACACCCAGTTTTTTCGTTGCTGCCGTCTGAGCATAGGTCCAGACTCCATAGTACTCCATAATACTCCGTATATCCCAACCGAACCTGGGCTTCTTTAGATTCGAGGTTCGAGGGGCTCCTTCAATCTCGGCAAAGCAGCACTTTCCTATTTTCAAACTTGTTTTTTCTTTCAAAATTTTCCTTACCCCCCCACACACAGTTTTTTGTAACTGGCGTCCGAGCATGTCCGCTGTCTCTATGCAGGGGAAAGCTGACAAGACGGGGGACAGTTTTCGATTGGTATCCATGGCAAACCTTTGCCGGTTCTGTTTTCCGATGCCTTGTTGAGGCCTTTCCAATTACAAACTGGAAATTTGCTTGGTCGCACAGCCAGGGCGGTGGACTGAAGGGCATACTCGTACCTGCACTTTCTCGAGTGAATCTGGTCGTTTTCGAGCCCCTGTACGTCCAGGAATCGCCTTAATGTGAATGTGCCCTAAATCTGCCCCACATTTTGTTCGTGTGCTTCCTCTTTGTGTTTTCTTTTTTTTTCCCATTTGGAAAAAAAAAAAAAGAGTTTGGTGACGTTGAGTATCTTTTTTCTGATCTGTTTTCCAACTTTTCCCCTTTTTATAAAAAAAGTTTTTTAACATTTTTCCCCTTTCGGCTTTCCATGTTCTTTTGCACTTTTCGGTGTTTTCACAGACAACTGAAGAGGCTGTAGGGGTGCCTGACGTATATCCTATGAGCGCTGCTGCGCTTCTGTATCAGCATCAACAGGCACCCTACTTTCATGTGGCGACTTGAACTATTTTTGGATTCCTCATCCTTAGAAAAAGACATTCATGAAGGCTCTGCATTTTTCAGTTGGTGATTGTGCAGGTCTGGGCCATCAATAATACTACTGGATGATTTATAGGGGGTGGGCTTTAAGCAGACATTGCGGAATGATGAGCTACTAAGTTACAGTCGTGCAGCTTAGGGCAGAATGCCCTAGGCTGAGCTGTACGATAGACTCAGCCTGATCGAGGCGTATGCTGTGGCGGATACTCTTCTCCATTCAGTATGAGCCTCTCAATGAGTTGTATCTGAGAGGAAGGGGGAGAGAAAGAAAGAGGGAGGAAGCAAGTGTGTGTGTGTGTGTGTGTGTGTGTGTGTGTG